TGTGTGCAGTGCAACAAAGGCGGGCACCTGGCCTGCGGCGGCTGCGTGGCCCTGCTGCCCGGCGGACAGTGCAGGGCGTGCGAGGACGGCGGCGGGTTCTTCGCCCCCTGCCCCGCGCTGGACGCCGTCGTGTCCTCGACCAAGGTCGCGTGCCCCCACGCCGGGTGCCAGACGTACGTGCCCTACCACGAGGCCGCCGACCACCGGAGCCCCTGCCCCCACGCGCCCTGCGCCTGCGCGGAGCCCGGCTGCGGCTTCGTCGGCCCGCCGCATGCGCTCGCGGGCCACCTCGCCGACCTCCACTCGGTGCCGGTGCGCACCGTCCAGTACGGCCGGGTCAGCCAGGTCCCGGTGTCTGGGCCGCGGCAGCTGCTCGTCGGCGAGGAGGACGGCCGCGCGTTCCTCCTGACCGTGGGCGCGCTCGGCGCCGCCGCGGCCGCCGTGTCGGTGGTGTGCGTGAGGGCGAGCGCGACCACGCAGCCGCGGTTCTCGTGCAAGATGTGGGTGAACCTGCCGCAACCGGCGGACGCGGCGAACGGCGGCAGGGCGGACATGATCCTGGTGGACATCCAGGTGAGGAGCAGCGCCACGCCCGGCGCGGTGATCGCCTTGGACGAACCGACGTTCCTGGCGGTGCCGCGGACGTACATGGTTCCGGTGGACGGGGATGCGGCGTCCATGGAGGTTCCCCTCAACATCCGCATCGACAAGATCTCCCGCTGATCCCGCTGATCGATCGATGTATCCCTTCTATTACTGTCAGTTCTGTTCGTGCTCCAATCCATGGTCTGGAGATCCAGCTTAAACTGTTTGGGGGAAAATGCTGTTAATTATGGATTTATCAGTGCAATGTCTTCCGGATGAGCTGCAGTGAAATTTAGCGTGAAGCTAATTGCATCTTCGCTGCTCCTGCACACAGCAGACAGCACCGCCCGCCCAGCCTTGCCTTGCCGTCTTGGTGCGAGATGCTCTACGCATGCCGACTGGCACCACCGTCTGGTTCGGGAAAGCTTTGCCCGGGCAGCCACTCGAGAGTCGACAGCTCCTCCGTCGCCTCCTCCTCCTCCTCTGCTGCTATGATATGATGCTATCTATCAGAAGCAAGCAGAGGCAGCTTTAGCTCTGCCCCGTGGACGTGGTGGACTCTTGTGATATGCCTCCTCCATGCTCCATCGCTGTTTCAGTGAAGTTATTATTGTTACGCATTATATGTACACCATCAGCAGATTATGCTCATGGCCAGAGCTTCAAGCAAGCAGCCATTTAAGTAGTCCTCTTGAAAGTAGAATTTTCAGAGTACCGATTTTGTTTTTTTGCCATGCCTTCTAGGAATGTTATTCCATGACAATTTTTTTTTGCAAGCACTTGAAACTTTTGTCAATATTTGTTCAGAACATACAAGCCCGCCGGAAACTCCAATGTAGCACCGTGGTCGACCATGGTGGTGAAGATGAGGTGGTGTTCTGCCATACAGACTATAGTGGAAGCCGACGGGTGGTCGTCGAACATGTGCTGAGACGCTCCACAACGAGCTCGAGTATTGAAACGTACACCTAGAGGGTTACCGGTGCATTGCCAAGCACAATTTTAGTTCTTCACAAGTTATGTAACAGTGGCGGGTGCCTTGTTGCGCTCTCTTCTCATACTACAAGTAGGATTACCATAGTTCACCCCGAAAGTCCTATTCTGATCCCGAGACCAAATTCACCCCGATGAACAATAAAATCACAAAAAAGTAAACAAATTAAAAAATCATAATTTCTTTTGTAGTAAGCTTTGACAAATGTTTTGTATGCTTATAAAATTTCAGCGTGAAATAAAATTCATGCAAGTCGTGGCAAAAAAAAATGTTCATGGATTTACAAAAAATACGGGAATCTAAAAAACCAGCTACTATGATGCTAAAAAAATGGTTATAAATTTACATAAAATACGAGAATCTAAAAAGTAGAATTTCAAATATTTTTCATATTATAAATATGTTCCCTAATTATCAAGAAATGCTCAATAAATTTTTTAATGTTTGATTTTTATAAAATAGCCTGATATTTAACTATGACAAATTTTGAAAATTCTCGTAATATTTAATTTTTCCTAAATTTAATAAAGTTGCATGATTTTTTTAAATGCTCATGGAGCATAAAAGGTGTGCCTAAATTTCAAAATATTCAAAATAATTCTAAAATTTGTGAGGATTTTTTTTAAAAAATATGGATTGAAAAATGTTCTAAAATTACAAAAAAATCGTCATTAATTAAAACTGTTCACTAATTTAAAAAGTATTTTGGATTTTTAAGTATTTATGAACTTATAAATTATTTTTAAAATTTAAAGAAACAGGAAGTAAAAATGTTCAAAAATTTAATATGAATGTTTTTGTTGCAAATATCTAAAAAATTCTTTATTTTTTTTTTAAAATTCACAAAATATAAAATGGAATAAAGAAAATAAATTAAGTGATCCTTTCGTCACCTCCTCTTCTCCTGCGATGTGAATGTGATACGGTAAGTGGCGAGCGTGTATCATGTATTGGGCTTGCACTGTAGGAGGCGACGAGTAGTTTGCTCATGGTACAGCAGGGACTGATTCCACAGGTCAGGCAATTAAAGTAGCAACTTGAATGACTAAAAAATGAGCAGCACCGCCCATAGAATTTCAATCCAAATATTTACCAAGATAACATGCACAATATTTCTGAGATAACATGCACCTTGACACTGTTAATATCATTGATCAATCCAACTAGACCTCAGCATGGTTAGCCTGGCTCGACAACCCGAAATGATCGGGCCGGGCCGGGCTCGGGCTCCATAGTTGGCCTGAATTAAAAGCCCTAAAGCATGAAATAAGCCCGAAATGATTCAAAATTAGGTGTTGATGGACATATATCTAAAATGTATGATTTATGTGCCCAAAAAAGATTAAAATAAGGTTATTTAATAGGAAAAGTCCATTTATATTGTTTTAAGGCGGGTTGGCTCGGGTTTTTGAGATCATGCTTTGTAATGCCCGGCCCGATGAATGCCTAGGTCTAGGTCCTGCTAATGAAGTCCAGATAACAAGTTTTCAACTTAGAAATGAAGTGATGTTTCCATCACCAGCACCATCAAGGAGCACAGCCACTCAATACTTTGTCTCGAACTAACATGGTGACCTCCGGAGATAGTCGCTACAAGCACCAAAACTTCTACGGATCATGCATTGACCTTGTTACAGAGGCGGGGACATACCGCCACCGCATGGTTGTGACCAGTACCGCCATTGCTTTAGCAATAGATGCGATTGGAGCATAACCTATGATGACCATGCTGCAGTCACATGAAGCCTTGCCGGCCGCACTACCAAAGCGCTACCACCGCACGGGAACATATCTGGTGCAACGGTGAATTTGGTGCTATCGGTGCACCGATCTCCGTATCTCACTATTCATTCATTGAAAAATTATGAAATTTTTTGAGGGTGTAAGTATGACACATATCTACAATAGTAGAAAAATTGAGATTCAAATTTAACGTACATAGTTGGAAAATAAAAAAGACAAATCACGCTGTGAATAGTACCTAATGCAACCTGGGCCTTGAATTCAGCCCATTTTCTATATCATCCCTGAATTTGTCTTTTTTGTTTCTAATGCTGTGTTTTAAATTTGGATCTCAAATTTTGTAGTATGACAGATTCTTGATGCTATTACAACATACTTTTTATTCAGAATTTTTTGACATTCGTAAATTGAATTTTATTAACTTGGTGCACAGGTAGCACAAGATGGTTGGGTGCACTAGATATTCCCCCACCACCGCATACCGTCCAAGAAGACAGCCATCGTGTAGCTATCCTAAACCAAGAAGACGACGACATGGGTTGCCAAAGCGTCTACAATTGGGATTTTGACAGTGTCGGTGACCTTCCTTGTTCAGTCAGCGTCACAACGTGCGACAATGACTTTCTTTGTTCGGTGTCTTTGGTGGCAATCGGTTCTTGTCACGACCCGCCTTTTTGCTTGTGCGAGCATGGTCTTCAGTTGTGTGGCATCTTATGTCAAGACTGTGCTACACATGATTGTAGAAAGTGGTGGCAACAACACATGATGACTTTGATTTGGTGGTGCTTCCAAGTTCCGATCTCTAGCCAGGGTGAAAACTTGAGTTTTGAACCTAATTGGTCATATATGGAAATGGAGATATTTTTTTGTCATACCTTGTTGAAGGCATTGCTCGGATTTGATCTTCAGGGTGAAAAACCATGATCTGTCTTTCGGCAGTTGGATCTGGGACGGTGGCGTTTGAGCGTGATTCCCTTCATGAAGGCCTTATTATTGGAGAACATGTCCCATTGTATTTGTGATGCTAAGGGATGGTTGGTGCAGATGTAGTCATTGTCGTAGCTTGTTGATCATTTATTTACCATTCAGAGTTTTTTTCCTTTTTCTCCACCAAGTCATAACTTCTATCTTGTATGAATTTGCTATTTACCAGTGCGATTCTTTGTTTGTGCATTGTAACTATGTAAAGACCGTCAATGCTTTATTTTGAGTTAATAAAATCCACCTTTATTACAAAAAAAATGTAGTTAGTTTCCACAAATTTCAACCTATTGCTAGTTGCATTGGCTACATCACAAGATGGCAAGACCATCTAGCTAGTTTTCTCATGTCTTGAGTAACATCAGTCGTTCGCCTTTTTCCAAGTCCATGAGAATTCTATCTCATAATGTGCATGGAAAATAGGTTCAAAATCTTTTTGAGATACTTAATTGGAAGGAGCAACTTGTCAGGCATAAATGTCGTAGAATGGCACATGAACATCAGAGCTAGAGCTATTCTTTTTATAGAAATTTTCACATTGCTAAACCGGTTTGGTTCAGAGCGTTATAAAAACCACAATACAAAACTTGGCTAAACATATAAGGTTTTTAAATTTTTAGTAAGTTAAGCAATTTTCGATTAAGCTTAACCCAATCTAGAAACATAACAAGTGTGTTGATGGAGCAATCAGATAAGGCAGAGTAGAAACATCTAGTGCGTGATTGGTTCCTTGCATCGATTTTGGTGCCCTTGCATATGTGTCGTGGTAGAGCCTGGCAGATCAAATGCAACCACTATATCATGTTCTACATTTCATTTGGGTTCCCTCATTGCACCCAGAGGTCGTTCAATACACGACGTTTGGTTGGCAACACTTGAGTGTTATGGATGTGAAGCCTTTGGTTGCTCCCGGCTTAATGTTTTAGTCACTCCTTTTCAGTAGTGATGACCTCACCGTAAAGTACACTACACATGCAATACGAAAATAATACCTTCATTGTCCTAGCTACTAAACAAATGACATTTTGTCCTAGCTACTAACAAATGGCGGTACCAAACTAACAGTCATATGACGAGGACGAGTAGTGTAGTTGGTAATTGATAGTAGTTCCTACGTACATCATCCCGTAATATATAGTTGTGGGAGGTGAATATGAAGGTTGACCGGACACATTGGGCACTTAAATTTGCTATATGTGTAGTTGTGGATGCTCTTATTGCTATACGGGCAGTCTAGCCGTGAGATCCTAGCGTAGAGGAGCATCCATGCGCCATTATTTCTTTGGATTGGATTGGATTGGAAGCAGTGACTCAGAGCTTGCATGTGCATGGCCTTGTGAGGCTGCCGATGATCTTGCAACAAAAGGGCATTTCGTGGTGCATTTGTGATCCCTGGCCTGTCAGGGAGCCCTGCTCTCATACAAACAGAGAATACAACATGAGCTGAGCTGACAGAGACTCCAATTAAAACTCCACTCCACCAAACACTGCTGCACAAATTAAGAAGCGCAAATTAATTAACTACTACAATCCAAATCCATCCATTCCGGGGGTTTTCCATCATAAAATCATAGTACTAGCTAGGGTTCATGTGATGTGCAGCTACGACAATGACCCTAATAAAACAGTAGTCCTCCAATCGTGATCAAGTTAGAGAGGCCGGGGTAGCTAATTCAGGAGAGCTTGGTGAGACAAAGGCGCAGATGAAGCTCGCCGGACTCTCCGTGCATCATGTTGGGGTCGACGTGCGCGTGGAGCCAGCCCTGCTCCATGTCCACCTCGCCGGGGACGGAGCAGCTCGCCACCGTCGCTTTCAGCTGGAAGCTGCTCGTGAGTGGTTGGCCCGGGGCCGCCGGAGGACCGTCCACCCAGAGCACGCCCGTGTACAGAGGCTTCGCGTTGCCCCTGACACAGACGACGTTGACGGGCCGGCGGCCGCCCGGGTCCCTGCCGGCACCCACGGCCAGGAGGAACACACAGTTGTCCTCCGCGACCAGCAGGCGGCGCTTGTCCTCCTCCGACGCCGGCACGACGAACGATTTGGCCACCTCGTACTGGATCTTCTCCACCGGCCACGAGTGTCGTGCCGTCAGGTGGCGCACGAGGCTCACAGGCGAGCTGTCGAACCGGCAGTCGAAGCAGTAGCAGGGCGCGTGTCTGCAGCTGGCCGCGTGGTCGGCGGCCGAGTGGTAGGCCATGGACGTCGGGCAGCCGAAACGCTTGTAGAGGCACTCCACCGTGTAGACGTCCACCATGACGTCCATGAAGCGGGAGCGGGTGTAGTTCACGTCGCGCCCGCATGGAACGCAGTGCTTGGTCGTGCCGCCGCCGCCGTCGCCGTCGCCACCGCAGTTGTGGCACACGAAATGCTTGTTCTCGCACTGCAATCCACAAGGCCATGTAAGATCCAACCTTCATTTCCCTTCCACAGGCAATTCTAGCTACCAATTCTAGCCATGGCGGCCGCTGGACTGGTCACCACCAGGTCCTCCACCGTGGCATCTTGCGGCGCAACGGCCGCTGAACTGGGTGCCGCCAGGTCCACCACCGTGGGGGACGCAGGCGCCGGCGGCATGGCGGCCAGAGGAGTGGTCTCCGCCACGGCGGGGGCTGGCTTTGCCATGGCAACGGGGCTGGGCGCCAGCACCGGCGGTGCCACGGTGGCTGCCGGACCGCAGGCTAGCACCGCGACGCTCGACTTCTTGCCGCCGCTGCCCTCGCCGTTGTGGAAAAACCGCTGCCTCTTGTTTTTCTGCTCCCCCATAGCGATTGACCGGCGCGCGCAGCTAAAAACTTGAGCGGCCGGAGTGGGCGATCGGAAATTATTGAGAGAGAGAGAGGGAGAGAGACTTGCTGGAAGAAGAAGAAGCTAGCTGTGGTGGTAGTGGTTCCTCTGCTTTGACCGAGGCGAGGGCGTGAAGTGTGCACCCAAGCTCTCCAAGTTCCGACGTGCATATATCATTTGCTGCCATTTTTTCTGAGTTTATCTGCTGCTATTTTCATAAAGGGTCTTTCGCTCATTCTTTCTGTTGTTACAGACGAATTTCGTGAAGATTTTGTTGTGTTTTATACTCTAGCTTCTTATGTTTTTCCCTATGGAAATTGTTTGATTTGTAGAATAAATCTATTTTGCAAGTTGCTCTTCAAAATGACTCTATTGTGTCCACCGGTCATAAATTGTGGCTCTGATATGGGAGCGGCAATAGCGGCGCGTCGGCGACTCGATCTGCCGGCAATAGTGGTCCAGAGGCCTCGATGTATTTATTTTTATTACATTGATGGTGTTTTATATTTCTGGTGAGCTTTTTTTATATATCCGGATTTTTTTCATCCAGAAAAACTTGTACCCCCTCCGTTCCTAAATATTTGTCTTTCTAGATATTTCAACAAGTAAGTACATACGAAGCAAAATGAGTGAATCCACACTCTAAAATATATCTATATACATCCGTATATGATAGTCCATTTGAAATCTTTAAAAAGGCGAATATTTAGGAATGGAGGGAGTACCACACTTCCTTTATTTCGAAGTTTCTCATAATTTAGCAACGAAAGTGATGTGCACATGATTTGTTCAACACAATCTGCGCACGACATAACTAGAAGCCGCTCAGATTAAGAAAACAAGGTAATTCAATGATGTAGGTGACTTGTAGTGCGTGAATCTGTCATGTGCATAGCAGTGCTCATTTAGCAATGCCATGGCACTCAATTCCTACCACCTTATTCGTATTCACGCATGTCCCGAAATAGTACAACCAAAATAGGCCCTAGCTGCCACCATCCATTCTTCAAGGCATCATACAAATTCAACCGTTACAAAATGCTACTAAAACCTTGAAAGAACTTATCGTTCATAATGCATCAAAATTTACATGATTACTTGATTACTATAAATCCTTTTTATGCATCGCGACTCGAAAATTAACGAAGTTCGGTAACAAAACTTTCCGTACGACTCGATTATTCCACAACGGTTACGAGACACTTGTTTCCACAACGTTTGCATTCATTCCTATAGCTGAAACCTCACCTCCACAGTCCAAACTCCTGCACACACAAAAGAAAAAGGTAACTCCCAGCCCAGCCAGCCAGTCGGAAGCTAGCATGCATTTCGACAGCTCAAGCAAGGACCACTGGACGTACGTGACCTATGGGCTATGCATGCATGGTGTACGCTACTGCATGCTACGTACAAAGAGTTGCGTTTTTCTTCTTTAATTTTCTTTTTGAAGGCATGGGCTTCTTGCTTTATTTGGTGCAAAAGGTTTGGCAGTACCGCAGTAGGAGTACTGGCTATACTACTACAGTAGCCTGGCATGTCAAGCTCTGGGCACAAGCTAGACACAAGTCCTCTAAGCTTTCAACTCCACAAATTCCAAACTCAGAGTTGGGCCGAAGGTTTTAGGCCCTGTTTGCTTCACAAGTCCTATGACTTTTTTAATCCCAACTTATAAGTCCCAAGTTTCTAAAAAGTCCCTACCTGTTTGGTTTCTGGGACTTATAAGTCTCTATAAGATCATATTACAACTATAAGTCCCTAGAAGTCCCTTTTTAAGAGTCTTATTTCATAAGTCTCAAATACCCACTTTAAGGGCCTGTTTGGAATCTCTCCACTCCACCAAATCCGCTCCAGTATTCCTGACTCCACAGAGTTCGTGGAGTCCAGTTTCAGCCACTCCGTGAAAAATGAACTGAAGGCCGTTCCACTCCGCTCTTTTAACTCCGCAGAGCCCGTGGAGTTCGGCGCTGCTCCCTCCGCTCCGTCCGCTCCGGGAGCGCACTTGAGGAGCGGAGTGGATCCGAACAGGGTCTAAGTCCTTATAAGTCCCTCATGTTTGGTTTAGATGGGACTTATAGGGACTTTTTTAAGTCCCTAAACCAATAAGTCCCTGCAAACAAACATCCTCTTAGCTCCTAGAAGTGGAATCTCAAAAGCTGAGGCATCCCCTAGTGCAAAAATGTGAAGCTGGGAAAGCCCAGCTCCACCAAACTGAGAAGCTGGGAGTTCGTCATATTTACAGAAACTTGCCACCGTCAAAGAACACGGTTCGTCCTCATGCCCTTCGAAACAGACTACACGAGCGGCTCCCTAGAATCGATACAGCAATCCCTCTCTCGTACACAGGCTGGCCGACCTGGGCTGGTCTAGCCGGCCCATTATGGCGCTCAAACAGGCCAGCGATGCTGCCAGCCCGTGATGGCGAGACAAGAAGCTGGCGATGCTACCGAACGCATTCTTGTCGCTGCGTGGAGTTGGAAGCTGCAATGAGTAGCTCGATCGTATAGGTTGTGTTTTGACAGGGGAACCGCAAGCGCGTCCTCCACTTGTCCAGGGTTTAAGTAAGATTTGGGAATTCGAAAACCTGGAAAAACCTGAGCCCCTACATTTGTTCTGCCGTTGTGTGTTCTACATTATGTTCTTCCATCTCCGGGCGATCGATGACTTAGGAAGCGAGGCCGTTCAGTCTCTGGCCGAACTCACAAAAGGTTGTAGCTGACTAACCAATGTCAGGATCTTAGACACCGACAAAAAGAAAACGAGAACTCCGCGAATATTGTTCAGAAGAATTAAAAAATTACCAAAAATTAGAGCAACTCCAAACCAGTGACCCATTTTATCCGTTTGGGTCATTCGAACACAAAACTTGACCGAACGGGGCGACTCAAACGGACGCACGTATCCGCCTGCTGTCCGTTTATTGTCTTCCCCGACCCAAACTTGGCCCAAATATGGGCCACAAATGGGTACGAAGCGGACACTCTCATCGACCGCTGTCGTCCGCTCGTGTCCGCCCCTGGTCCCACATATCAGTGATTGCGCACGAGCTGGCGTCTACCTCCACAACCGCTGCGAGGAGGAGCGTGGCCATCGACAAGGCCACCCGCGCAGGCCGCCACCTCCCATTCTGAGCTGAGCCCACCAGTCTCAGGGCGCCGCATGTCGTATGTTTGTCGTCTTCCCGTTGCCCGCGACGGAGCAGCCGGCAGCGCTAGCGCTATAGCTCAAGGGGCTCGAGGCCCTACACGCGTGTTGTGCACCTCGACCTCTCGCAAGCGAACCTGCTCGTCGGCCCAGCCAGCGAGCTCAGGATCGCCGACTTCGGCGCCAACAAGATCCTGCGGCGGCGGGTCGAGGGGGAGCGGAGGTGCAGCTCGAGGAGGAGTGAAGCGGTGGCGCGAGAAGATGCCCTCCGACGCGAGGGTCATTGCTGGATTTCGTTTTGTTCTGTTCTGTTCGGCGGCAAATGGAACTGAGTTACTCTGTTTCTACAGGCATCTAGACGTTAGAGGACTGCAGGTTCTATGCCATCTTGGCATAGTACCTGGAGTTCAGCAACAAGGACAGAACCTTGGTGCTGAAGTTCTTGGTCAAGCATGAGCAGGACCTCGACTGTGGTGGTGGCTACAGCAAGCTCCTTCCTGCCGGCGTCGACCAGAAGAAAGTCGGCGGCAAGACCTCCAACAGGTTCACTCCATTTTCAGCCTAATCCATCTTTGATAGCTTTGGGTCAATTCGGATTGCAGCATCATGTTATGGTTGTGTGTGTGTGTATATATAGGTGCTGCTGTAGGCCATGGGGGCGAAAGACATTATTGGGTTTGAATAGTCTGTGATGTTTTCTCCAGTCTTAAGTTTTAGTGCTCTCGCATCACATCTTTTGATAGATTTTGTGATGGTTTTGCTCTGATTAAGTAAGTTATACTTGCAGCAAGCAATATTCCCTTGAAAGGAACCCGCCTTTTCTCCTCCTGGTCTGCCTTCCTAAATTATTAGGACTTGCGGTTGAGGGCATATTTCTTGTTGTTCCAATATAAAAGGAAGTTCTTTAGAAATATGTAACAATATTTCTGTAGTGGCTTCTCTTGCTGTTTGAAGATAATATAGAAAGTTGTTTAGAAATATGTAGCAATCCCATCCAGGCATATTACCATGTGCATTTGCATGTCCAGGCAGTTGAGAGTTTGGTTTGGTCTGGTATGGTTTAACAAAACAAACTGTGCAACAATATATACTATGTGTTCTTTGTCTCGGTCAACCCGGGAGTCACTGGAAAGAACTAGGTGGACAAGTGAATGTCTTTGTAACCTAGGTCATGTGGTGTGGTGATTATCTATTTAGATCACAGATGTAGTGTTGGCGTTGTACCAACTATCGAGTAATTGTACCTAGACCTGAATTCTTCTATCAATAGATATCCAGTGCGTGCCTTATTTTCTACATTTATATGTTTTGTCATGTAACAAACTGTTGCTAACCAAT